GTGTATTAGTGACATTAGGGAACCCAATAGGAAAGCAGTTTAAAATTATAGAAATAATAAATCCTTTTGTTTTATTTTCTTTGCTTTTCTGAATATTTTCAAAACCTCTACATTCTAAGAACAAAGGGTTTGCATACATGCCTTTAAGAGTATTTACTAACATTTTTTTTAATATCCACATTTTAAAGTTTATCCTAGAATTCCTTGTCCAGTAAATTTTTGTTAAGAATTAAGTATTTATTGAGTCAATATATATCTGTTGAACGATTGAAAAAATGAATGACTGAAGAGTGGCCCAGACATTTTTTGAGAGGTAGGTAAAGTGAACTACTGATTTTTTCTGGGGTGATCCAAATAGATAACAGAAATATGATTGTTGGGGTGCCTGGGTGGCTCAGTCAGTTGAGCGCCTGACTCTTGATTTCAGCTCAGGTCATGATCTCAGGGTCCTGGGATTGAGTCCCCATTCGGGCTCCATGCTCAGCGGGGAGTCTGCTTGAGAATTCTCTCCCTTTCCCTCTGCCCCTCCCCCCATCTCTCAAATAAATAAATAAATAAATCTTAAAAAAAAAAGAAACATGATTGTTGCTTGTGACTTATGAAACCCTGGTGCATGTGGGTAATATGGGTGGGGGACATCATGAACACAATCTGTGTACCCCAGAAAACCCTGCAGAAGGACTCTCAAGTCAGTCTACAAACAATAAAGAATAGAGAAGACATAAACCGATCGTTTCATTGATTTTTATTTTTTGTTGAATTATGTTTAGATATGTTTTGGAGGTTTCTTCTCATCATCTTTGAAAATCCTTCCTCTTTTCCTCTTGACCCTCTTTCTCACTGTACTCTTCCTCATCTTCCTTGCTGTGTAGTTGTCCACATTGTGCCAGTCATTGGACAAATTCATTATTACCAACCAACAAAAGTTAGATGTGGCATGCTAAACATTTTCTGTCCTGATATCTGCAGATATTTTCAGCTCCTGGAAAAAGTTAGTTGAGTTCACTTAATCTTAAAACCAGTTGGACCCTTTAAAACATTTGCTGAGTTCAAATAAAAGATGAAGAATAGGAAATAAGACATAATTGACCAATATCACACTGAACATTGCCAGTATGGATTTAGACTTCCTGGTCTACCAAGTCAGATGCAATGGCACTCACTTTTCCAATTCTAACTAAACCTTTAAAGTTCAGAAATAACTGGATTGACCATTGGGTTTATCAAATTGACATGCTTGATAATGGCGACCCTATGGCAAGGTGAAGACAAACGGGTTCCCATCTTCCTTGTTCCCTATATTAAACAGCCTGGTTTGCAGATTCTGCTTCTTCTATTATGACTATAGCTTGCCATTATTGTTCGTTATTTTGCTGAACCATGGAGTTCAGCTCTGATCAACTAATAGGAGTAAAGAGTCAGTCAAATAGTCACACTATTATATTAATTACTGACAACATTTTTGGAGATGTTCCTAGTTCGCAGGTGAGCTGGCAGCACCCCACGTCCACAGAAGGCCCAGTAGCGTCTGGGGTAAATGTCATTCCTGGGACCTAACAGAAAAGCTTTAAACTTTAAGCTCCAAGTGAAAAAGGGAGGTCCACATTGTGTATTCAGTATTACAGTGGGTCTCTTGCATCAATCTACCTGCTGTGGGAAGGAATTAGCCAAGAAGTCCCTTACCTCCTCAAGATCAGATATGGTTTCGAGGTCCTCATCTCCAGGAAACTTCTTTCCAGTGACTCTTGAAATTTGAACTGAGTTTGTTTTATCTCAACATTTCTGTTATATTATTCCCATTCTGGATTCTTGGTGCTCTTTTCCCTCCTTTCTATTTATCCATTCATTTGTTTATTCAATAAGCAATCAATGAACATTTATGCCCTATGTGGAACAGATATTGGACTTTGTTCCTCAGGTACAAAATGATAACACACATTATCAAAAGTTGTGGGCTGGCGGAATGTGGTCTAGGATCTATGATGAACGGCTTTGCATTCACTCCACGGGCTTGAACCGACTAAGTGGAAACTGACCAGAGGTAGTCTTTTCAAGTTACTTATATCTAATGTAGATTTTTCAACACAGGATTAGCCAATATAAACTGTTTAATCTAGGTGAGTGCCTATGATGGTTCATTGGTCTCCTTCTAGGAATAGATTCTCTCTCTCTCTCTGTCCTCCATCAGAGACTGCCTTGACCTTTGCTGTGGATTAGATTTGGCTTTCAAGATCAAGAGCCTCCTGCCACGGACTCAATATTTCAGTGTCAATGAGAGGAAGGACAGCAAGTACACTGCCATGGAATGTAGTGTCATCACATTATGAAAGCTAGGGGCTTTGTATTTAGTGAACCCTAATATGTTGATCCTAGATGTGTTTAGTGCATACACTGGCTCTGCTACACCCACTTATCTGGCTGGCTGATTTACTGCTACAACATCAGGCGACCCCTAACATACTGATCCTGATAAGATGTAGTGCCCTTCACTGGGTGTAGGCAGTCCTTATGGGGTGGGACTAAGATGCTGTGGTTAGAACTGGGACTTAGACTCAAAATTTACACAGATGTGATCATGTGTGTATACACATACACTACATACATGGATTTAAGGTATTTTATTTCTATCAAAGATATTACATTTAAATAATGAATCCCTTATGGTGGAATTTTTGGCAGAAGAGGGGAGATATTTTACGGCAGTTGACCATCCTTAATCCCCCTTGAGTGCACTCTACCCCAAAGGTCTCTTAGCTACTTTGTTCAGTCTAGCCACAAGCATAGGGACTGGTGGTAACATTGCTGTCTTTCTAGATGTGCTTGAATTTAAGACTTTCAGGTGTGTTTGTCTCAGCTGAGATTTTTTTAGAAATGCTTCCAGTTTAACACAATTTTATGTACATTCTTCCAAATATTTTTCATTTTAGTATGTTGAGATCAATATGATCCACATTTTCCCTTTCATTTAGTGAAATGTCAGGAGATCTTTGCAATAAAAAAGGGGCTTTCTTGAGGGCTCAAACTCAGGAATTTGGTTTGCCAAAATTAAATATGTTATGATTTAAAAAGTCTAAGATTGCTTCAGAATGTGAAATTAACAAATACAAGATGACCTTATCATCGAGAAAAGTATATCCCACCTCCCTTCAATTCTATTTTTCTTACTACTATTTTCTGAGAGAACAATGGAAATGTACAGAGCAAAATGGACTCTTTTGCTTTTAAAATCTTTACCCCCCACCCCGTTTGTTTAGTTGGTAATTTGGAACACTTTAAAGTAGCATTTCTGAGTGTTCCATGGAACACAAGTCCCATGAAAGTTATCTCATCAAAAATGTTCTCTCATCAACTCAATGTAGAAATTATTCAAGAGTCTATCTTCTTCTGGAGATTCACAATATATATTACCATCTGGAGGCTCTGAAAGAATGGATGATAGTAAAAGAACATTCTTAATTTTAGCTAACCCAGCATTGCCTGCTCTGCAAGTATATCTACTAATACTTTGTACTTTAGGAAATATTGATGAAGTTTTTCATAACAACTTAACCCTTCAATATTTCTCCTCTGCAGAGAAGGGAGGTGGTGTTGTTAGATATATGGACTTTGGACTCAGACAACTTGGGTACAAACTCCAATTCTGCTATTTGCTGATTGTGTGACCTTGTTCAAGTGCCTTAACCTCTGTAAATGTCAGTCTTCCCATCTCTAAGATGGGCATCCAAATAGTACCAACCTTGTAGAGTTGTTGGGAAGACTCAAGTAATAACTTCTATAATGTACTTAGCATAGTGCCTGGCACATAGAAAGCTCTCAGATTTCTGATAATTATGATTGAATCGTTACTGTTAGAGATGGCTTGGGGGTCTACACCTTAGCTCCTCATAAACATTCAGGTCGCTGCTGTGATTTCCATCTTGCCCTTGTCATTCAGAGGCAACCGATTTACACAGATAATGGATCTCCCAACAGGCCAGCTTTCACATCTGGAATCTGCTGCAAACATGATCTACACATGCAAGTCTAAGGAAGCCAGTCTCACTGGGAGGCCAGCTGCAGAGATGAGTTTAGCTACCCCAGGTTAGTTATCTAACCTAACGAGTTTATCTTCCTTGTCGTTCTGTCCTTTCAATCCTTTCCGTTTCAGCCTCTTTTTTTTGGTCTTTTTATGCTCTTCAGCTCCAGGACCTCTTTGGCTCATATCACGTTCTCTCCTTCTCCCATCCAGCATTTACCAAACGGATTCAGAGTTACTTGGCTGTGCTTTGCTAGTCCAGCAATTCAACAATTATTTACTGAGTACCTAAGTGGTCCTTGAATTTATGTATCCCTTTGCACATCCCAGTCCAGGGTTTGACTTTGGTAAAGGCAGAGTCTGAGTGTTTATGTAAAAGGGGAGGGGGGGAACCGAAAAGAAAACACTTGGCTTCTTTGGCGAGCTACCGGATGAAACAGCTGAAATCCAAGAAGCCCTGTGGTGAAGAGAGAGAGATTGCGAGCACAACAGGAAGAAGCCGTAGCCCCAGTGGCAAAGGTTGAGTTTTCCTATGGCAAGCACACTTCTCTCCCGGAACGAACGCTCTCTCCCTGAAAGCTGCTGACAAGACTTTGGCAAAGTCTCATCCTCCCGCTCTCTGATAAGCTAAGCCCCATTTTATATTTAACTCACTGCGGAGCAGGAGGGGCGGAGTGGTATAAGGGGAGTAGTTTATAAGGGGAGCAGTGGCAGTGTTCTCGTCAGTCCTCTTCCTCCAGCTCAGCCTCGCCTCTGGAGCCCTTCTCCCACCCCCTCCTTGCCGCGTCCAGCCCTGAGCGGCTGGTGGCGAACGCGAGCGGAGAGGAGACACGCAGAGAGCCAGAGAGGGGTGTGGGCAAAAGGACAACAGGCTACCAAGCCAGGGAATTCTTCCCAATTTGAAAAGGAAGTCGGCTGACGTGAGTTGGTGAATTAGTTGAATTTACCATCCTTTTATGTGTAATATTTGCCTTTGGAAACAAAAATGAACTTTGCGGAGGGAGAGGACGCTAAGAGGTACTGCATTAAAACGAAACATGTGGCCATCATCTGTGCAGTGGTGGTGGGGGTAGGATTGATAGTAGGACTTTCCGTGGGCTTGACCAGGTCCAGCAGCCCCACCGGGGACGCCGGGCAGGGCCCAGCTCCGGTCCCTTCCCAAGTCCCTTCCCAAGTCCCTTCCCAAGTTCCTTCCCAAGTCCCTTCCCAAGTCCCTTCCCAAGTCCCTTCCCAAGTCCCTTCCCAAGTTCCTTCCCAAGTCCCTTCCCAAGTCCCTTCCCAAGTCCCTTCCCAAGTCCCTTCCACTGAGAGCCCTCCGGAGGACCAGGGGGTCTGCCCTGCCAGCGAAGACGAAAGTGGAGACTGGAAAAACTTCAGGCTGCCGGACTTCATCAACCCAGTGCACTATGACTTGGAGGTGAAGCCCTTGCTGGAGGAGGACACGTACACAGGCAGTGTGACCATCTCCATCAACGTGAGCGCGCCCACCCGGTACCTGTGGCTGCACCTGCGGGAGACCAGGATCACCCAGCTCCCCGAGCTGAAGAGGTCCTCCGGGGAGCAGGTGCAAGTCCGGCGGTGCTTCGAGTACAAAAAGCAGGAGTATGTGGTGATGGAGGCGGAAGAAGAGCTTGCACCCAGCAGTGGCGAGGGTGCCTACCTCCTGACCATGAAGTTCGCCGGCTGGCTGAACGGCTCGCTCGTGGGATTTTACAGAACGACGTACGAGGAGAATGGACAAATCAAGTAAATATTCATTTTTGCTTTATTTACCCTCAGCTCACATATTTGCTTTCCACTTCTTTCCTTTTCCTTTTCACTTTCCCCCTTTTAATTGTTTTGTTGGTCTGCTATCTAAACTTGGTTTCAATTCTGCCTGTTCACCTGGGAAACAAAAACTCTTGCCCTGTGTTATTTTCCAAGCCTATCAGAAAACTTGAAAGTACAGAGTGAGCTTCCGGGAGTCCAAAGAATCAGTGTAAGTCTCTAATTTCATCAGGAAAAATCATAATGTACTACATCCTGTCTGAGTGCAGAAACTGCTTACAGAAACTACCTCCAGATTTTTTAAAAAATACATGTGTTTGGTAAATTTCATGGCCATGGTTTTGGGCTATATGACAATGATTTAAAAGTGAACTTTTAAATATATATTACACTAAATTTAAGTGGAAGTCAATAAATGTTAATTATAATTTTGAGTGTTTTATTGGAGAAGAGATGTTGAAAGGGTATGTAAAATCCACAGAATTGTCTTTGCGTCTTTATCTAGGAAGGAAGGCAGGAGTCTGTCTGTCTTTATCTTCTATGGCCAGAACTATGTTTCACACTTAAGCTTTTAATAAACACTCATTGAGTTCACACATTAGTGGCGGCATATGGATAACTCTTTGGGCTTACTGTCCATCACTCAATATGCAATGGTTTTTTGCAACATAAATGATATATTAAATGATTAAGAATATAAAGATATATCAAGAAATTAATATATGGGGGCACCTGGGTGGCTTAGTCGTTAAGCGTCTGCCTTCGGCTCAGGTCAGGATCCCAGGGTCCTGGGATCGAGCCCCGCATGGGGCTCCCTGTTCAGCGGGAAGCCTGCTTCTCCCTCTCCCACTCCCACTGCTTGTGTTCCCTCTCTCGCTGTCTCCCTCTCTGTCAAATAAATAAATAAAATCTTTAAAAAAAAAAAGAAATTAATATATGTATTTTTGCATTTCTGAGTTTAGCAAAGATGGTTACTTGCCTTGACAATCAATCAGATGCTATTACTAGAACTATGTTAAGGGCATAAACTCTCTCAATGAATTAAAAAAAAAACTTCACTCTGTGGGTGTGGGCTTTGCATCAGGAAGGAAGGCTATACTGAGGTTATCAGTGAACTTGAAACTGCTTTGACTTTTGCTTTTGTGGATTCTTGACAGGCAAATCATTAGGAAACCTTAGTGTCACAGTTCAGAAATATAAGTCTGGGGCCAGCCCACTGAATATCCCTTCCCTATGTTGTTTTAAGCATCTTACAGAGCAAAGTAAAGCTTTTGGTCAAAATTCTTCCTATTGTTTGTCAGAGAGACCCAGGGACTAAAATGAAATGTTTAAGTATCCCTATATTACTGTGGGATACACTAATAAATCGAATAGAAATGATAGTTTGAAAAAAATATTTGAAGGGAACATGCTCATATACTGTATCTTAATATCACTGGCAATAAAACAAGCTTCTTTATTGTTGACATATATTTTTTCTGTTTATAAAAATTAAAAATAATGAAAGCCTGGAAAATTATAAAGAAGGAAAATCAGAAGAAACTAGAAAGAGAAACTTCACATCCAGTGGTAACTTTGGTTACATGTTAATGAATACTTCTTTAGGCAATCAAATTGTAATTATATAATTACAGAGTGAGCTTCCTGGAGTCCAAAGTCTATGTATCTATCTATATACCTTTTGACTTCATGTAAGCATTTCTTCTCATTCTTCCATATTTTCAAGAATCTGATTTTAAAAGACTGTGCATGAATGCACTGTTATGTTTTTACGACCTGTTTCCTAATACTGGGTATTTAAATTGCTTTCAGTATTTATCACAATAAAAGCGTCAGAAAAGAACATAGTTGTAATAAACCTTTAGGAATATATCTGTTTATTTCCTTATGTTAGGATATATTCAATAAAGTAGAATTGCTGGGTCAAAGAGTACAAATATATCAAGAAACTTGTCACATTTATTTTGTTTACTTCATAAATAACACACATTCACTCCAGAAAACTTGGAAAACAGAGGAAATTTTATCACTGAAGTATAGTCATTATTAATATTTAGGCAGATATTCTTCCAGGATTTTTTTCTGAATACAGATAAAGATGGCATTATGTTGTACATTGTATTGTGTAACCTGTTTTTAGAATGTATCAAAACTTTAACATGGTTTGGTAGATGACTTAATGGATACATGATATTCTATTATATGAATATAATGTACTTTATTCCACTTTTCCATTAAATTTGGGCATTTAAGTTTCTCCTACTTTTTTACTTTTTTTATAAACACCTATAAAAATATAATATAATATAAAAAATTCCTAATAAAAATATGTATAACATACATAACATTTTATAATAATTCTATGGGAAATTTCGTAGGAAGCTGGCCCAAACTGTGTATGTATGGATACATGCATTTGTGTGTATGTATACACACATATACGTATATATAACATATGCATGCACCTGTGTGTCTCTCCAAACTGACTTTCAAAAATACATCTCAAATTACATTTCCACAAATAATGAATAAAAGTGCCTATTTCTCTGAGCTTCACTAAGGATTAAATGAGTTCTTAAAGTGTTCCCAGTTTGGGAAGGAAAGGCATAATATTTGGAAGGATATCCACCTTCAAGAGATTCTAAAAATTCAGTAGTTGAATTGAAAACAAGTCAAAACTTTCAAGTGATTATTGCTAAGACTTTAAAATTGTTTCTTGGGTTGAGAAAACAGTAGAAACTTCGTCTGAGTAAAGCCACCAAAATATTATAAAAACTCTATACACTACAGGAAGGCCAAAAAATATGGAACAAGATTCCATTAGTAAATTTCTTTATGGACTCTATAAGATTACAAAAGCATTATATACTAAAATATATATTATTCATTTGACTCTGGATTATCTTACTGTACCAATAAATTTTACCATAAAATATATACTTGAGAGCTCATATCCTGAAACTTGGCTGTCGTAATGGTTGGCCAGCAAATACCAAGTTACAGCAAGACTGGTGAGAGAGGCAGGCCCAGGTGGGTTCTCATGGAGGACTGGTAATGCTGAGCTCGTCTGCTCTCCTTGGTAGCGGTTGAGGCTCTCACGTCACCCAGGATGCTGCTAGTTCAGCCCTGTATACGTGCTTTTGGAACAGTTCTGCACATACTCAGTAACCTCATTTAGGTTAAATGGAACACTTTTTGTTTTTCTTGTTATGAAATATTTCAAGCATGGAAGGAGAGTCCATTGTTCTTGTGTGTTTTGTTTTTTTTTTTCAAGCCTGTAAGTAAAGTAACATTTTGACAATGCAGGCCTATGGAAGGTTCTCATCCACAGCGCCCACATAAGGATGCAGGAGTGAGTTCACTGGGAGCAGCACTGTTCTTTCATATTATACAGTGAGCTGTGTAATATTTGATGCTGATACAATTTAAAATGCCATCATAGCAATATATTTTTAAGCATCAGTCAAATTATATTTTCTGACTCTTTTGTCTTATTGTAAAATCTAACTCCAGGACTGAGTATTAGCAGTTGCATATTATTATTGGGATATTATCATTGCAACCACAGTGCAAACTAAATATGAGTGTGCTCAATAGTAGTAAATCAAGCAAAATTACTTGATTTCTGCAAATACAACCAGGACTTGAACTTGAACTTCACAGAGAGGAGTCAACTCTCTGGGCTTCTTTCCCTCAAAGTTCAGAGGCAAGAGAAGAGTTGGAGAAGAAGGTAGAGCCAGTTTAGAGCTCCCTGGCAATGAAAGCCATATCATCTTGCTGGGGACAGAGTTGTAGTGAGGCTTAGGAGAAGAAAGTTTGAGTTTAGAGGTCGCTTTTCCTACTCAGGTCTGTTCCTTATGATCAGAAGAAGCCACTTTGAAAAGGATTGAAAGCTTTGGAGTGTTTTTCTGCACACACCACCAATACCCTCCACACTCTTACCATGTTACGTAGCATTTCCAGTTGCTCTCTTCCCAAGCAGAGTTCTCCTCTACTCACATCTCCAAAGTGTATACTATTTTCTTCTCTCCAACGGCCAGCATTTCCTTCTCAGCATTTGAACTACCTTTACACAGCATTTCCCAACTTGCTGTTCCACAGAGTTCCAGTTGCATGGGATATTAATAGCCATTATCAGAAAAAAAGCAGGGGAGGGATTCTGTGGCCAAATTAGTTTGGACAATAATACTAAATACAAAAATGATGTATTTCTTCTTCTTCTTTTTTTTAAGTCTCTTCTGAGAGACTTTTATATAATAACATCCACTATGAACCTCTAGAGACTGCCATGAATCTCTGGAGTATGCAGTTTCCCAACGGTATGAGACTGTGGAATCTTCCGTAGCTGGGAGTTGCGCTGTCCCTCTCTTGTTCACTAGCTAGCACAATGAGTACTTAAATATTGCTGAATGGATATATAGAAACATTTTCACATAGGCTCTCACATGACCAATGTCCTCTGGCACATGCTGGGATGTGCTGCAGAGCCCCAGCCCTTTTCCCATTAAGGAGTCCAATTTCCACCAATAACATCTCTATCTTCCCACTCAGTCAGGATGGACATTTTTCCTTGGTTCCTTTTCTCCCCATCTCATTGAATAGAAGAGGAATTGATAAAATCTCTCTCTTTTTTTGGGGGGGGGGGCTTGGGAATGCAGTCTTCTTATTTTAAGGACTGAGAATCTTTGGCATTAACAGGAATTACAAGAATTTACAAGAGGGACAGATGGTTTCTAGTTTGGGTTTTCTTGGTGTTTACAGCATTGCTAGGATTGAAGCTGAATTCTGATATAATGGTGGGATTGCAAAAGGCAAAAGCAAGTAAGAACCTAAAAGCAGGTAAAAAAGGAAAGGCACTAAGTCAGAAAAACAGAGTGAGGATGAGAAATTAGTTTGTAGGAGAGGTTTATATAAAGAGGCTAGCTAGAGATAACTTTGGAAAGCCTGTCAGGGAAAAGAAAGAAAGGATAGCTAATGCC